GCTGCGTTCGGCATTGCAAACGCGAGGCGTCGGAGTGCTCCTCCTCCCTGTCTATCTCATTCTCCCCTCTCGCTCACTCGAATGCGAAAGAGCACTCCGACGCCTCGGATTTGCAATGCCGAACGCAGCTATTATCATGCGCGGCAGTCGTGGCGCTCGTGGCGTTCGCGCCGGAAGACACCGGGACGACACTCAGAGGATTAAATGTCCATGTGTGACCGTGTATGTCCAACGCCACGCGCAAGTCGCCATCGGAATAGATTTTAATACAAATTTTAATACAAACCGGCTACATTCTTCTTCGCGCCACGCAATCCTTCCGACTGCGATATGTTGTCTATCCGATACGTAGGTGGCTCAACGTAACCGGTTGATGGATTGTTCTCTATCCTGCCAGATAAATATTTTACATGTTTATTGATGAACTGTAAATCATCAAAACCAATTGAGTGATTCTGAAAGCGTTTGCAAGACTAGTCCTCAAAAAAACAAGATCATTTTAACGTCGCGTCTCAGTCAGGTTTACATTGTGAAGATTAAACGAACGTTCACTCGTATTGTATAAGTATTGTATCTCATCTTACTCTAATTGCGTGCTGTGACTTTGGTATTTGTAAGAGCGTAAAAGATCGGCGAGCAGAGTGGCCTGTGGAGTGCCTTCCAGAAGATCGAGCGGCGTCTTCTTCTGGTTGTTTCTGGCCTTCTCGAGGAGTGTGCCACTTTTGTCCACGCTTACCAGGAAACAAGCTAATGCTAATTGAGTCTTTGCGCCTTGCCTCGCCAGGTTCCGCCAGATCTGCCCGAAAGGAAGACGTTCATCAGAAAAAATTATATACATGTATAGGATTGGCCCACGTATTCAACGCAAGAACTTGGACGACGTACGGCATATATTAGCGGTGAATCCCGGCTACTTTCGGATGTAGGCACGGCAGACTGTTGATTCGTGCTCTTGGCTATCGCGATATGTAGCACGGTGTTACCGTCTTCGTCCGTGCTACCGAGGTCCGCGTTGTGATGCACCAGCAGCTCAACGAGCGACCAGTGGCCCTGCGAAGTCGCCAGGTGCAACGGCGTTTGCCGCCGATTGTTGCGCAGATCGACCTTGGCGCGGCGGCCGGGCAGTGACAGAAGAATATTTGCAACTTCCCTGTGTCCGTTTAACGCCGCCAGGTGCAACGGTGCAAATCCATCCTCCTTTATTTTGACGTCCACTAATTGCGTATTAATTGCAAATTGCGGGCATAGAACCAGAAACTCCATCGCGCTGTGGAATCACGGATTTAAAAGATGAATCAGACCATTTTAAGTAGGGTCAAGCTAGACTTGGTGAAGTCTGTCTTATACACGTACTCAGCGTTGCCTTTAAGCGCGGCAAGATGCAGGACGTTGCAGCCCAGGTCGTTCCGTAGTGTTAAGTCAACCGTCAGCTGGTCAGTCAACATCGTGATGATCTCGAGCTTGTTCCTCTCGATCGCTTCGTGTAACGCCGTATTGCCGTGCGCATTCTGGAGATTGACATGGCATGCATGAAACAGTAGCATCCCCACACCGTTCTCGGCCCGCTTGTTAACCGCCACATGTAGAGCGCTACATTTGCTGTCGTTGACGGCATTGATAGCCGCGCCATACGCCAACAGATGCTGTATTATCTCCATCTGATTCCTGTGTAATTGAAAGAGAGAACACGTATGTAACTGACGCTGACGAAGATCCAGCAACCATTTCCAACGTACCCGAATGCCGCGTAATGCAACGGCGTATTTCCATTATTGTCTTTCGCGTGCACAGAGGTCATGTCGGTGTCCAGAATGAGGGCGCAGAGCTCATCCCAACCTTGGCACGCGGCCACGTGAAGGTACGTTTCCCTGCTTATGAGAATACGCGCGTTCACCCCGCTAGGATAAATCTCGGGGAATTCTCGCCTCACATCCACGCCTGCCTTGCTTTTATCCGCGTCCTCCAACAGCTCCTCCACGTTACTGTACGCACCTTCGGCTGCGTCATGAGAACAAATTAAACATATCTCGTTTAAAACGTAGCTAAAATCATTCTCCTTTCAATAGCAATTCGACATTTACATGCGATATATTTCTAGCGCTAACAAGTTTGTAGAGGAAAGTTGTATATTGTCAAATGAGTTTCTAATATGAGATAGCAGGTTTTCAACACCCAAATTCAATCACAAATCTTTTTTCGCAATGATTACACAAGCTATCAATGAATTTCGCTCCAAGGGCAATGAATTCATGGTGGAATCAACTAATGTTGCCTATTAATTTAACAGAAACCCTGCTATCACATACTGGGATCCTATCTCGTGATAGGGTACTTTCCTCTATATAATAAATAGAGACGTACTCAAACGACTTCTAATCGCGTACTCAAACGACTTCTCGTTCGCATTATCACGCGTGACTGGCGTGACGTTCGTGCCAGAAGACGCCGGCTCGAAGTGACTGGTCGCTGGGTTGTTCTCTATCCTGCAAAACAAATACTTTTACGTATATTTGCTGGTGAACTGTAAATCATCACAACCAATTGAGTGATTCTGAAGGCTTTGCAAGACTCGCCTTCAAAATAGAAGATCATCTAACGTCGCGTTTCAGTAAAGTTAACATTTTTCGCAGACTAGACCTGCGGGACTGTGTGCTCGCATTCTATAAACAAATATTCGTTGTCTTACTCTAACTGCGTGCTGTGACCTTGGTATTTGTAAGAGCGTAAAAGATTGGCGAGCAGAGCGGCCTGTGGAGTGCCTTCCAGAAGATCGAGCGGCGTCTGGTCCTTGTTGTTTCTGAACTGCTCAAGAAGTTTACAACTTCTGTCCATGCTTACCAGGAAGCAAGCCAATGCCAATTCAGTTCTTGCGCCTTGCCTCGCCAGCTTCTGCCAGATCTGCCCGAAGAAGAAAGACGTTGTTCATTAGAAAAATTTATGTACATATATAGGATTGGTCCACATATTCAACGCAAGAACTTGGACGACATACGGCATATATCAGCGGTGAATCCTGCCTACATTGGAGTGTAGGCTCGGTAGGCTGTTGTTCCAGGCTCTCGGCTATCGCAATGTGCAGCGCGGTGTCACCTTTGTCGTTGACGAGGCCGACGTTCGCGTTGTGCTGCACCAGCAGCTCGACGAGCGACCAGTGTCCCTGCCAAGTCGCCAGGTGCAACGCCGTTTGCTGTCGACTGGTGCTCAGATCGACCATCGCTTGACCCCCGTTGTCCAAGAGGACAGTCGCGAAGTGTTTGTCCCCATTGTACGCCGCCAGATGCAACGGCGTGAGTCCGTCCATCACGTGACGAATTACAATCTGAAATATCTGGGTATATGGATTTTGGACGGGGACAATGAGCGGATCGGGTGGGCAAGCACTGATTTTAACACGTTAATTCTAGACTGTATTATAACTTGTAATTACTTTTTGTTTTCGATTTTCTTTTTCACTTACTTTATACTTACGTACGATCTATTCGAGACCCGCGACTCTCCACCGAATTATTTGCGATTTAACGTGACAAAAGGAGATGGTCAGGGTTTACACACAAAAGCGAAAGACTTTACGCGGACTCTGTTTCGTATAAGTATATTCGAGTTTAACAATTTACACTGATTCTAATTTCGCACGACTCTCAGCGAGCAGTCAACTTAGCTGTTTCGCCGTCTACAAGAGAGTGCCGTTGCTCGCTCGCTTTGTCCTCAGCGGACCGTTGGTTCCTCTATTTGCCTATTTTGTTTTCGTGGGCATGTTGTGGCTTTTCGTACTTATGCCACCTGATTTGTGCTGCCACCTTTATACCTTAATTCGTTCCTTTCAAACTAGACTGTATTTGAAGTAGGACCGGCGCGTGTCCCTTCACAAAGGCGAGTGTCGGGCTTTTCGCGGGCACGGCTCAGCTCCGGTTCGAGCTTATTCGCGCTTTACACGTGAACGTCTCGCAGCGTTCACGTGTTCGCTTTTCGCGCGTTTTGTCTGGAGCGTTCCCGGGAGCAGGCGCGCTCTCCCGGCGAATACTCTTACAAATCGGCGAGCGCGGTCTCCGTTGCATTGTGAAGTCACGGATTTACAGGATGAATTCGATGAAGTGTGCGAATTCTAAGCACGGTCAAGCTATACTTGGTGAAGCCTATCGTACGTACGGAGCGTTGACTTGAAATGCTTCTTCTTCTTTTTATGAAACGTGGTACCTGAATCCATAGACTTTCTCGATTCAGCCGGCGTCATACCTAGGACCGGTAAATTTCTAATGTTTACTTGTGCCCCTCTCCAGGCCTCGCGGCCCGTTTCATGGTCATGAAAGTTTACCGAGGGTTGGCGGTCTTTAATAGCAGAGTTGGGAAAGTTACTTGACAAACTATAAGTAATGTTTGAGACCCGACGTCTCAGCCTCTTGCGGAGGCATCATAGCGCCGGGCAAGCGTAAAGCGAGAGTTCGCATCTCGCTATAATTCGCATCGATTTCGCATAAATCGGCTCGCGGCAGCCTGAGCCTTTGTCTCGACAGTCGTTCGATAATATTCTCTGGCTTCCCTCAGTGGTCGGGGGAGCGATCTTTCGTGTCCTCTCGTCGAGACAAACACTCGGGCTAACAACATTCTCCAAAACATTGCCCGTGGCAAACAATTACGAGCGGTTTTGGAGAACGCGAAAGTCAAGCGTTGTCTTCCCCGAGCGACACCGCGAGCATGCGCCACGGGCCGCGTCATCCGCGGAGCCACCAATCCACCGCAACCGCACCGATCGGCCTTCCGCGCATGCCAAACGCGCGCGGTACCACTCAGGGCCGCGCGGGAACCAATGGCCGCGTTCAGCAGACACAACTGTTGAGTGAGCGCTCAGTATGATTGGTTAACACTTTTAGATCCTTAATATGATTGGCTGGATCTAAAAGTATTAACCAATCATACTGAGCGCTCACTCAACAGTTGTGTCTGCTGAACGCGGCCAATGGTTCCCCGCGCCCTGAGAATCACCTTGGGAAACTCAAATTTGGGGGAGGCGATTGGCCACCGACGGCTCGAAACCGATATCGCCTCTCCCATAAATAGCGCGGATCCCCAAAATTCGCCGCCGTTCTGTCGTAGACTTGAAAGCATCGGTGTGATTTTGCTTTGCGAGAGCTCCTCCTCGTTGAAAAGGCTAAAGCGAGAGCCTTGTAGCGCGAGCCCGCGAGCTCGGTCGAATCAAGTCCTGAAATCCAGGCAGTTTTGCGTATTAAGTTGTTGATTAGTGGCTGCGTTCAGCAGACACGACTGTTGAGTGAGCGCTCAATGATTTCTTAATATGATTGGCTGGATCTAAAAGTATTAGCCAATCATACTGAGCGCTCACTCAACAGTTGTGTCTGCTGAACGCGGCCATTGTAGCGGAGGCTTTATTGTAGAGAGAGAGAGAGTGGATGCGCCACGAAAAGATGTTCTCTCATGTGTCTTCTTCCTGTCGCTCCGTTTAATTCCCGAGACTTGCTCTCGGCTGAACCGAGACACCCTTTTGGAAATCCACAGGTGTTAAACCTCGACGGATAAACCGGCACGGACTTAACCTCGCCCTCGAGTTTTGAGGTTCGAAATACGAGAATTATGATGGACTGTTTGAAGCAACCGGCGTTTTTAGTAGGGGATATCGACGAGGACATCAATCTGTCGTTGCCACCGTCCTCCGGGGAGGACTACATCAAACGTGTTGTGTAAGCCTGGTGTCTTCTTTCCTCAGCTGCTCTCTCCGGGAAAAGTTTACCCAAAGGGCAACTCGCAACTCTCAAAATGCTTTTTGAACGTACATCTACATCTTCCCAAAGTCTTCACCTGTTTCCTCAGCTAAACATAAACTCGTTGATTTATGTGCTGAAAATATATAAGCCTCTTGTAAATAAGGTGTTGAGTCTTGTATCTTTTATATCTTTTCTTCTGTTTTCTCGCACAAGGGACAAATATATATCTGCTTTATCGAAGAGAGAGCTAATAATGAATGCAGCACTTGCAACTGGGAAATGACGAGCTAACAATTCAATGTCATTGATACTGCAGAATAGAAGCCAGACAATGCGCGGACGTGGTGGTGGCTGATTTGGATCCGTCGTGTGTGAAGAAACCCACTAAAGCTTATGTCGAGACCGTAAGTCGACTCCTGTAAACTGTGTAAGTTAATAAATTGTACAACTACGGAGTCAACATGACTGTAAAAGTTAGCAGGGTGCGTCGAAGCGCCGGAGAACCTCCGGCCGACCGTGGAGTGGCAGCAATATCAGGTTTCGGACTTCTCCAAGCTGAGACTATACGTGAGCCAACTGAAGGACGAGATACTGGTAGGCAAGCGTAAGTGGAGGCCGCCTGACATTCAGTTGGTACGTACGTGTCGCGCGAGAAACTTGAGCAAGTTTCGTCTCGGCTGTTTTATTCAACTTGGCGTTCTCTTGACGTTGCAGCCGGACGTGGACGATTACGACGCTTGGATCAACTTCTGTTCAGGTGGCGACGAGAAGGCCAAGCCTACGCTGAACACCCTGTTCTGCTTCAATCAGTCCAACGTTGAGCAAGTACTGGAATATTTGGTGCAATTTGTGGAGACTGAAAGGAGAATCGAATACAAGAGAGGCCAGTGGATTTACGCGTTACTCGTCATCTTGGAGCAACCGTTGCAGCCTGACACTTGTTCATGCCTGCGCTCGTTGGCACGAGCGTGCTCGGTGATTCGTGCAGACTCTGTAATATTCATTATTTGATTCAGTCGGTTCAGTGTCTCGACGCATTGGAATTAAATCAACCAATATCGCGTTGTGCCTTTGAAAGAGAAAAGAGAGGACGGTGATGTTTGCTCGACCTTATTTATGTCAAAACTCGGTTGTCTTTCAACTCACGTGGTGCTTTTTCTTCAACTCGAACTGTCTAAAGAGAAACGCTTAAAAACTTAATTCAGGACAAAAGTACAAGATACAGATAGTTGCATTTGATTTTAAAAGCATAGAATACGATTAGATATTGCTCGTCGAAAACTGCACGTGAGAAAACAGATAAGATTGGATTGTCTGCTGCACAGAACTCTCACCATTAAACACGACAAATGTATTGGTTCTTTTAGTTCCAGAGCATTGATTTTCGAATTTTACAAAGAAAAGTTCAGTTGGATTATCGTTAACAGTTGATTTATTGCTTATAATAATAATACGGAGGAACGAAGAGAGGTGAAGAGGGAAATTGGCCAAATTTCTATTAACAAAACATTTTTATTGCATAACTTCCTTTACTTACGCTGCTGCTACGTCGTTCCCAATATTAGAAAAAGGTTGAGGCGATAATAAAAATTCGCGTTTGTCGGATTACAAAAGGTTGTGAAAATAAGAGACTGAACTTTTCTTCTATGCCTAAACTAGCTCGTCGTCTCGTTAATATCTACAAAAGTTCACGTCAGAATTTACTAATGCCATCTCGCTATCTCTTTTGGTTTTCCTGTTCTTTTTATAGAGAGAATTGGACGCGCAGGAGCTGGGGGCGCTGAATTTAATCATCTGTCTAGTAGCGAGATACTTTCGTCAATGGGACTTGGCGGATCCTTGACAAACTTCCCATCGTGTATATTGTGTAATTAGTTGTGACGTGGCATGACATTTATCTGTATACATACAACATTTTTTTAATAAACTCCACATAAGATTACATCCTGACCTTAGATCTCAAGCGCAGAGAATACGTTGAGTTTTCGAGTCTTAGTCATTATCGATCGCGCATTAAATTACACGGTACCAATGATTAGAGGGGGTGGGTACAATATAAGGCAATGCTTAAGATTCGTTAAATAAACTCGTATTACAATAATCAATCGATAAGCGAAAATTGTTGAATAACTTGGAGCGATCCTTAAGCTACGTTCTCTTGGTCCTGGAGTAACGCAGTGGCTAGTCTCTCTAGATCATCGTAACTAAGATTATTCACTTTGTTTTTCAAGTCCTTTATCAGCTCGTTGACTATGGACTCGGTCTCGGACACCGTGTAGTAGTGCCTGAGCACTCGGGAGACCTCCTCCCTCAGCAGATGAATGCCCGTTTTCTGTTGGGGCAAGGCTCTCGCCTCGCTGGAGCCCTCCTCCGCCTTCTTGATCACCAAGAGATTTAATTTACTGCCATCTTTGATTCCTGGGTAGAAGCTCAGCGGATTCTCGTCTAAAGTCGGCAAACAAAGCGGGCCGTTCAGCCAAGGGGTCGCAGCGATATACGCTGGAATACGACTAGATAAGACCGAATGCCCTTACCCGCCAAGGTCTTGCCGGTGAGCAACAATCTTTGTTGCGGCACATCGATGCCCAGGAGATCGCTCACTTTGTGCTTCAACTCCAGCACTGTCTCCGACGGTAATATCTAAAATATACAATTTTTGTTTACACACAAGGTACTCGAAGGGAAAGAACTGTTGATATTCCAAAGGTGCTTAGTCCGTCGTCTACAATGGAGTAAGCCTGGGATAAGGAGTAAGGAAATAACTTGCGCTCTCACGCTTACTCGCGGCGAATCGGGACGCCACCGGGCGGTGTTCAAATATTTCAAAAATTATGCCCGCATTTTAGCATCCTTGCGCGAAAAGCGAAAGGTTATGGTTCGCTCTTGCTACATGGTGGACGACGGATAAGCTAACATCGGCTCGCTGCCGCAACTATCAATATCAGTCTACGGCCGAGATTTAAGGTTAGGTTTCAAAACGGTTTCGCCGAGGCAAGGCTTTACTCCCCTCCCCCGCCCAAGAGATCGGCAATTTTTCTCGAAAAAGTTGGCCACCGAGTAAAACTCATTATCTCGGAGAAGAAGGCCTCTCGAAACGTAATCCAGACGACGGGGGGAGGGGAGGTAGGAGAAAGCCGCGGGTGCCTCGCGGGGAGGAAACGGCAGAGGCGGCGGCGGCGTACTTACGTCAACGACGCACTCTTTCCCCTGCAGCTTCTTCACGATCACTTTCATGGTTGAGCGGCCGACTCGGATCGCGGGGACGAGGACCGTTGGACGTGGCGGGGGGCGGCGCGGTCAGCCGGGGCGGGATCAGGTTTCGCGGCACAGCGGTGACTCCGGTTGGGCCGACGAGGGCTGGCGCATCTTCCTACGCGCCCGGAGAGAGGTTATATTTTGCGTACGCGCGACTCGCGGCGGCACGGCGTCATCGGCGTCATCGACTGCGCCTTCCACCTCCGTCTCTCCGTGCCCTGCCTCAGGAGCAGCGGCGCGACGCGGGTATCGATACTGGCGCGGCCGACCGTGCGGATATCGACAGCGACAGCGATGCCTCGTGACAATTCCTCCGATCGTCGATACGCCTCACTCGCATGATACTCCCGCGATCGTTTCTCCCCCGAGTCGCCCGTGATTCTCACCCGCGCGTGTACACCGTTTTCTTCCCCGTCCACCCTGTTCGGCCAACTTCCCTCCCTTTCGCCGTCACCTTTTCTCCCTGTCGTATCGAGCCCCGTTCGGTTCTCCCCTGCGGCCGGGTTCGCAACGGGCCAATCGCGCTCCGGAGTGATTCGCTCATATTTGACGCCGACTGAACGTATTTTTAAATAACTCCTATATGCAATCGTTTGTATTTCGTATGTAGACGTTTGTAGTGCAATTAGAAAGGTTTGTGAGTCATTCGTTTGTTTGTAATTAATTAATTATTTTTCCACCGTATATTTAGCGTCAATAGATAAATTAGATAAAGTTTTTATATGGAATCGTTGGTATTTCGTATGAAGACGTTTGTAGTGCAATTAAAAAGGTTTGTGAGTGATCCAGATAATTTTAATTAAATATTTATTAAATAGAAGTTAGCCGGTTTCAAAATTTCAGTGATTCAGTGAACAAACAAACGAATGACTCACAAACCTTTCTAATTGCACTACAAACGTCTACATACGAAATACAAACGATTGCATATAGGGGTCATTTA